TTGGCCTTAGACTAAGAATAGTTAAGGATATTGTTGAATGACAAATGAAGAACATACATGTTGAACGATTGAATAATGAATGTTGAAAATTGAAAATTGATTATTGAATATCTGAATGAACATTATGTGCATGATATCAAATGATTTGATTGTGAATTGAGATACAATTTATATGGATGTTCGACGCATTAGATATGCTTACTCAACTTTACCGCTGAGCGTGTAGTATGTTTTATTTGCTACACGCAGGTTAATAGAAAGAATGATGTGACGTGATCTTGGAGGCGGACGGAGGCGAGATTGTCGGAATGGATGTGATGGTTTTGAATTAAAGAACATAACAAATTATGTTGTAATTATGATTTGGTAAAGCTTCCGCAATATTGAAAACTCCGTACTGTTTATATTATGAAAAATATTATTATGATAAATAAAAGTGTTTGAAATGTTTTAAATTTTTACGATTACCAAGTTAATACTTTAGTCCGAAAGGGGCTGCAGACCTGGACGGATTAGGGTGTTACATTGATATTTTTGTAAATTTTGCGAACTTTTTATCCAATGTCCAGAACATATCTAAGAACTATTATACTCCCTCCGTCTCCTTGTATTTGTCCACTTTCATTTTTGCACACCATCCAATGCACTTCTTTAATCCATTTTATCTTGTAATTTGTATATTAAAAAAATTATAAAAATTATATATTAATAATCTATATGTTAAGACTAATCAAACAAGATCACACATGACTATATTTAGGCTTACACATTGAGAGAATTTGATGAGTCAAAGTGCTTAGATGAACAGTTCCAAAAGTCAAATGTGAACAAATACAGAGGGACGGAGGTAGTATATGACAATGAGTACCATCAGATTTGAGAATGAGTACTAGCACTTATGAGAATTACGAAGTATCATATTCTTATTCAATACAAACATGAATAAACCTAGGTTTTAAATTCTCCATGCTCAGAGAGTATAAATGAGTTGGAACGAATTGAATGGAGGAAGAAATTTTTAATGATGGTTTTGGAATTTTTAATTGTGATAAAATTGAACAATACTTTATTTCAGATTGAACATTTCCTTATTTGAGAATGAGTATTGTTTTTTAAAGAATGAACACTACGCTATTTATTATAATTATATTAGACAAATGTGTAAAAATGAGTACTTCTTTATTTTAAAATGAGTACTACCTTTTCCAAAATGAGTACCACGTAGTTTGAAATGAATGGTTATATTTGTACGAGAATGAGTACTAATATATTTTACAATGAGTACTACCGGATGTACCTATTTGTAGGTACATCCGGATGTACGATATACCAACTCCATCCAATTTCAATTATCTTCAAATTTTCGCAAAAGTCAATAATAAAAAAAATTAACTTGAGAGATACTATTTTTTTCAAAAAATAATTGTAGATTGAAACCGAAATAGTCTCTAGAACCGGATCCCAATTTGTTTGGTCCAAGGCGGTTCTTAAATTCCTTTCTAAGAACCGGAATCCAAATGGAACCGGTGGCAAACACTTTATTGGCTACGGGAAGACGGAGCTGCCGCTGCTCCACCGTGCGGATTTGCGCCGGCGTCTGACAGGTGAAACTTCAATGGAATTTCGCATTTCTTATACAAATCTGTCTCGGTTTCAATTTTTAGGTTTGATAGTTCGAATCAAATTCAAATCATCGAAATTCCAGTATTAGGTTTTCTATCTAGAACCCTAAAACTTCATGTTTGTATAGTTAAATTCTTAGCCTATTTGAACTTCCTTTCACCTATTGTTTAGTAAGATCTTATATTCTTATCGATCTATTGTTTCACCTATTCATTTTGCTTCTTTTGAAAAAATGATTTTGTCAGTGCTTTGCATTTATAGATAATGGAAACAAGTTAGATAAGTATGGTCACTTTAAGATTTAATCTATTACAATTATTTATTTATATATTTTTTTTCCAGAAATGAATTGCAGCCACCTTCATTTTCAGCTTCTTACTATACAACCTTTGAAGTTTGGATGCGATCCCAAACATGGTCTTAGCTCACTCAATTCTATGGAGGTTTGTGAACTTTAGCCTTCCCTATTAAGTACTACATTTGACCTTATATATGCTCATTGTTGAGATAAATGCATTTCGATATTCCCATTTGAGTACGGTCAACCTTAGGAGCTATAAGGTTAAGAGAGGAAGAAGGAAAAGTAT